GCAGAATCCTCTCCTGGCCTAGCTAGTGCTGTGATCACCTCACACCCCCAGACCCAAGGTTTCAAGCATTCTGAACCCCCCCACGCCAGCTGCTGCACCCCCAAGGGTCCTGCTGCTTGAACACTACCGGAGGTGGACACACAGCTCTCAAAAGCTTCTGCAGTGGCATGCGACGCTGAGTGACGACGTCCCTTTGAGAGAGCAGCTGTGAAATCCGCCAGTGATAACTATTTCTTTCATAGCCCTTGAAGAATTCCCTCCGTTCTTGTGAAAGCAGGAAAAGTAGAGCAAGCCAGGCTTCCTGCTGCCCCTACAGCCGCTATCACAGGGCCAGGCTGGAGTGACACCCAAATGATGTTCAGATTCATCTCTTCCCTGTGAAATGGAGAGCATGTCTAGCCTCAATTCTCACATTCCGCCTGAATAACCGATAACTCTGGGGCTATCATCAGACACCTGCCTCTGCTCTCAGAAGCCAAAGCCCTGCCATGCTTCTCTCTCCCAGCCACAAATATCCCTTCTCGCCCCACTGCTTTTGGGGTAAACCCAGAACAGACAATTCTGGATGTGGGGGGTTGGATTTGTTATTGTCCATGCATCTGCCTGTGGCAGAAACTCCCGTCCTTCCCCCAGCCCCACAAGGAACAGAGGGCTGGCCAGGCCAGGCCAGATCTGGTCTCCAGCCTGCAGTGATACAACCACCCCAGAAACTGACATCAAAGCCCCCACCCCACAAGATACAGCTTGGGCAGCAAAAGGAGCTCACGTGTTTTCCACATTCAGGCCTTTTATTCGAAGGGCCCATTTCTCTAGGGCTGGGGGTGGGGGCGCTGGGCAGCACTGAACATGGTGAGACCCAGCCCGCCCCCAAACATAAGGCAATGCTGCTCCCCAGTGCCAGCAGGCTCACGCCTCCCTACACTTTCCACCTCCCGTCCACTCCCCGAGGGGCTGACTCTCCTGCTTGGACTGGGGCCTCGCGGAGGGCTGGGGCAGGAGCCTTTCGCTCACAACCCCTCCCAAAATCCATGTCAAGTTACAAAATATTTCACAGCACAACCCTCTTCCCCTGCAAATTCCCCACTTCGAACGCTCCCGGGATGGGGTTTCAATGAACCAGCAGAGGAGGAGGGTTTCCCCTCCAAACGCTCCTGCAGGAGGCATGTTCCTCCCACTCTGCTGACACCTGCCTGCCCAGCCAGCTCTCCTTGCTCGAGTTCACGTTCCATCAATCTCCACGGGTCCCTTTCAGGAGCTCTCTCCATCCCCATGGGAAATGCAGGCGGGGGCAGGACTGGGTTCCATGGGCTTTGGAACACCCGGGAGACGTCTGCCGGCCTGTCCGTCAGGGAGGGAGGATGGGGCTGGGGCGTCTGTGTGCCCTGCTTGTCAGCCTTCCAACACACTGCTTGCATCAGCTACAGGCTGTAATCTGAAGGGGTAGAGATGCTGAGTCCAGGGCCCCTCTGCCTGCCATGTCTAAGTCCTGGGCACTGCACTGCCCATCAGCTGGGAAACATCTGCTGACGAATGTGGCAGCCCTGTCCAGCGTGGCACAAAGGTCATCCTGACCCCTCCCCAACACACACGGAGACCCACGGGTGGAAGGTGGGTGGGGATACAGGGGCAGAGTTAAGGCTGCTGCTGAGTACCACAGAAATGCCTATCAATAAACAGAGACAGTCTGTCTATCTGTATTTCCGACGCAGCCATCTCACAAGCAAAGGACAGTTCTGTTTGCTCCCAGCGATAGGGAAGGGTTGGGTTTTGTGTCCCTGGGCATCCCAGGGTATCCTGCTCCCGCCCTGGCCCTCACTTGACCAATGCAGCTAGCGATAGCTGACACGCCTGCTCCGCCTCCTCCAGGAAGCCTGTCCCGTGGGTGCTCTCAGACCTCCGGTCAGTGCTAGGGGTCGTCATCATGCAGTTCCCAGCCAACCCCACTTGTGAATGCTCCGCTTCTCTTTGGACAGTGATTGGGCACCAGTTGAAAGCCATCCTGAGCCTAGATTTGCAGACTGGCTTTGGCCAAGACCTCAAATGCATTTGTATGTTGCTGTGGGAAAACTGGGTAGATTTAACCAGCTTTGGTATCCCTCTGCAATGGATCTGGAGTGTGCGTTGCCGGCCTATGAAAGGCCCCAGACTTGTGCAATGCTCTTAGACACACAAGAGCACATCTGGCTCATGTGGCTGTCCTCTCCTGCCTGTCTTATGCCCTGCCCACCATATAAGTACTTTTCATCATGGTGCTTGGTTATCAGACTTGTTGGCACCTTATTTATGACCCAGAATCATCACTTGCTGCCCTATGGTCCCTGTGCCCAGTTGGCGGTGGTGGTGGTAGGGGTTTGTTTTTTTGCCAGGAGTTACACTGGAAGGGACTTACTTTAGTCTCCCACATTCTGCTGCTACATGAGTGGGAGCTGTTCGGGAGGGGGAGAGAGGGGGGTTGCTGACACTCGCTAAGGGCCCAGAGGTGGCTGCATTTTGGATGTTGTCATTACTGAGGATTTGATTCTGTTCTATTTTGTCAAACGTGTGTTTGACTTTGTTAAGAATCTTCCTGTGAAAAGTCCCCGTGTAAGGGAACGTTAATTACCAAAGAGCTGCAGGGTATTTATAGCCCTGTCCTCCTGCCCATCACGGAAAATAAGATTAGAAGTTTTGTAATCTGCGGCGCACAGATCCATGATGTTTGAGTGACCTGCTTTTCTCACCCCTGATCATTTTATATTTGCTCTTTGTTGACCTTCTAGCATTTTGGCTCCACGTCCAGCAGGCTATGGGGGAACTTGTACAGGGTCCCAGTCAAGGGCTGGGACCCCCATTCCCAGCTGCAAAGAGAATGCAGCTATTTTGGGGACAGACGTCTAAGTGTTTTAATCACCAGGTGGGAGCATTAAACCCAGAGACAGGGTCATGGTCAGAGAACAGAGATTATCAGCACAGGTGAAATTCCACCCCCTCTGTGGAGGGCCAGTCCTGGGTCTGGACATGGTTATAGGGTTTATGTGGAATTTACGGCTTGCCTACACTTCGTGCTGTCTCTACCTAAGGAGAGACAATGCACACACACACCCCAGCACACCTGGGCATAGCTCCCTGGAAGTCACCACAGCCACACTCACGTCAAATTTCTGACAGCATCATGGGGTTTGATTGAGAGCTTGGATTTGGGGAAGTTCTAAGCACCAGAAAGCAGGAATTCGAATGGCATGGCCATGCTAGGCCATAACCAGCAGTGCTGGCTATCACTGGCCCAGGAACTGGTTTGTTTTCAGAACATCCTGGAATTCTGAGGTTACTCTGTAATAACCAATGAAAAGTACCCCAGTACTCCCGGATTTTACCATGCACAGAATGTGTCATCTGAAAACACACAGGGGCCTTGACGTCCACAGCCCTCTCACAAGCCTACATTCCTTAAACAAGGCAGAAGCTTGTCTTTCCACACATTTGAACAGCCTTATTTCTCCTGCAGGGCAGCCTAATCCATTTACATAACTATAGCCTGAACAAAGGCGACCGTGTTATCGCCCAGTTCCAAAAGCGCCTGGAACAAATCCTCATCAGCCCCACCTGCAACAGGGAGCAATATTTCCATCAAAAGTGAACATCCAGCCTCTTGCCCTTTGTTCCTGGGATAATAACCAACGGACGTTTGACTTCCCACTGTGATAAAGCTGTCATGTCGTTAGCAAGCCCAGGTTTTACAAATGAGAACAATTCTTTTAGCAGCCAAAGCAGGCTCTGTGCCGACTGTTTGTTGGATGGCGTTGTATCCAAGCCAGATGAGCCATTTCTCCCTCACTAGGGCCAGATGCTGCAAAGACTTAGGCAGGTGAGTAACTTTATTCTCTCACTAAGGAAGTCCTGTGAATAGAGTCGCTCACCTGCACCAGCGTTGGCAGGATGGGACCCTAGGGCAGAAGACACGACACATACAGTTCAGCCAGCACTTTACACAGTATCCTGCCACTTGTAGAAGAAAGGACTAAAGAGACGCAAAAGGATTGTAATGTAATTGACCAGTGCAAGACACACCACGGGCCAGATTTTCCATTGTCTGGCACCTGTAGTGGTGGTGTTATACACGCAGTTTGCACAGGTGTAAGTGATGACAGCCAGGTCCCATGGAGTGGAGAATCAGCACCTATGGATTTAGCAATCCAGGTATTGCAGGATATTCATTATTCACACAACAGTCCCAAAACTCATACAACTTGGAATCGGAAGTTAATATTTACATTTGCTACTATGTTCTTGTTAGTATTTATTCTCAGCAATGCCCGCTATGTTTTAGGTGCTTTCCAAACAGTCTTGGCACTGAGGACTTCACAATCTAAGGAAAATTCAATTTGATTCTAGAATTAGATCCTAAGGAATCTTTCCTGGGGTAAGAAAGCCTTTTGCTTGGTTTACAAAAATAAAACTAGCTGTAATCATAGAGTATCAGGGTTGGAAGGGACCTCAGGAGGTCATCTAGTCCAACCCCCTGCTTAAAGCAGGACCAACCCCCAGACAGATCTTTGCCCCAGATTCCTAAATGGCCCCCTCAAGGATTGAACTCACAACCCTGGGTTTAGCAGGCCAATGCTCAAACCAGTGAGCTATCCCTCTCCCCCAGATACTGTGCACTGGCAGTGGCAGTATCATGTGTCAGCCAAAAATTGTATAACTGTATAAAAAGGGGAATCTTAATATGAATCTGCAAATTTGCCATAAGGTCTAGTCATTGCTAGCCAGCAGATCAGACACATTAATTTCCGCTACAGGATGGGAGGGCAAAGTTAGAGAAATGTTAGTAATGCTGTAATTACAGCTTTAGGTGTGTGGACTCCATAAACCCAAGACTTGGGTTACCTCTATTGTGCACAAGCTGAAGAACAACCAAATGCTATAATTGCTCTAGATATTCTGACACAACCAACACACGCGCAGAAACCAGCCAATTGAACTCCCTGCAAATCCATCCCCTAAAAACAAAATTCTCTTACTTTGGACAGTGCCCTAAGAGAAGTCGCAATGAAGGGAAATCTCCTTTGGCTGCAGCATAGTGAACAGGTAACGCTCCTGTGTCCGTGGCTAACATCGGGTCGCTGGCTCCAAATCGCAGTAGCCAGTCTATTACTTCGTGGTGACCAAAGCGGGCTGCGAGATGCAGGATAGTGGCACCGGAATTGTCTGTGTCCTGCAGAAACGAAACAAGACAGTTCCTATTACGACCCGCTCCTCGTGACACTGCAATGAGTGGGCAGCGAGGTTTTCTGGACTGCACACTCAGGTGCACGCAACTGTGGCAGAACCTCCAGCCCTGCTTAGCAGCAGTGTTTTATCAGTGGCTGCAAACCTGGGAAACTGCAACGGGATCCTGCCCCAAGCGTAACGTGGCCCCTGTGAGACGAGTTCAGGGGGCTGAGCCAGGTTCCTGTGTCCACATCACACACGCACACCCTACCCGGGATTAAAGAAATAGCCTCCTTCTTGGGAGCCTCAGCCGAGAGGCCAAGGGCTAGAGGAGGCCTGGAGTGTGACAGCCGCTCCAGGCCAGAGGGCAGGCACAACGGCAGGGTGGGGAAGGCTGCACCAGTTCTGGGGACAAAGAGAGGCCTTCAGTAGCACCAAGTTCACAGATGCAGAAGGGAAGAACAGCCGCAGGAGGGACCCCGCCTATGAAATGGGAACCGATGGGGGTGGGGAGAGGGAGCAGCACCGAGCTATTAAAGCAACACAAACCAAAGCAGCCGGTATCCAGAGGAACGTGCATGCCAGTGTGCCAATCCTGGGGGTGCAGAGAGACGACGTGCAGGCTGGAAGCAAACACTGGATATTGTGAGACCCTCTGAAGTCCCACCTCTCATCCCTTTGTGCTGCCTGCTCCAGACAGAACGCCATGTGACTGCGCTCCTGACCTTCCCGGACACAGAGGAACCCCATAGAGCCGGTGCAGAGCCCTTAGCCATCAATAGACAGGGCTGGGTGCGAGGGCTGTGGTCCCCGTGGGCTGTTCTGAGCCATACGGGGACAAACCACAAAGCAGCTTCTGAGGGGCCTCAGGGTAGGAGACCTTTGCTCTCCCTTCCCAGCTCCGACAGGCTGGAATATTCGGCCCACTGGGTCTATTTGCATGCGTAAGAGCTACTGGCAGTGACTGAGAGAAGGAATCAGGGCATCGGAGCACAATACAACACTAGGTCTGGGACCTTAGCCCTCTCCTGGGAAACTTCAAACAAGAAATGAGCCAGGCAGGTCGGGAGCCAGACGCTAGGCCTGCTCTATCACGGAGGAGGCACACTTCTGCGATCAAGGCCTTGGTTGGACAAAGTCAGCGTTGAAAGTTCCATGACTCCTAACAGAGCTGAGAGCCTTACACTCGCTTTGCCCCAGCATCTGAGCCTCTTAATTCTTCCAGCTTCTCACCTGGTGACTTTTCACAGAGTGCAATAACCCACGTGCTTTTGGGGAGACTTACAGAACTCTGACAACAAGCTAGGACCTTGCTGTGACGCAACAGGGAGCAGGCAGATTTGACCTGGGAATGTTGCAGGAGAGTTACATTGAGGATGGGGGACTTCCCTTGAAGGAAGATACCTGAGCTGTAACCTGAGCCAGGAAGGGAGTTGGGAGAAGTGACACCTTCTGGCCAGGAGACTGGACAAAGGAGAGGAGGAGCTGGGGGAGGGGAGAGAGCTGCTGGAGGAGTTTTTTTAGTTTCAGTTTTGTGCTGGGTGGTGCAACACAGGGAACCCCAAGGCTGGGGTCTAAGCTCCCTGTCCCCCAGAAGGACTTGACTGAGGGGTCCTGGTTGTACCTACACGCTCTGTTTTAGACTGCATTCCTATTGTCCAATAAACCTTCCGTTTTACTGGCTGGCTGAGAGTCACGGTGAATCCCAGGAAGAGGGGTGCAGGGCCCTGACTCCCCCACACTCCGTGACACTTGCAAGAAATGCTGTAGGGGCATCTAGAACCCCAAAATCTAGGAGAAGGGGAGGAGGGGGACTAAGATACTCAAGAGAAGAGATGTTGCCCCCGTAACGCATGCACAGGGACTTATCCACAACTTAGGCAATAAAGAACCTTTTTCATATTCACATGCTCAGATTGCCTGACCCCAGCCCTACAACTCTTCCCTGCACACGTTACCACAACCCTGTCCTTTCCTAAGCCCTCATGTATTGATCACAGGCAACTACATCTCATCAAAATCCAAGAGCAGGAAGGATGAAATAAGTTCTCTCTGCTGTGTTTAACCGCGTATCTTGCAGTGTTGCCAACTCAAGTGATTTTATTGCAAGTCTCATGATATTGGGTGACTTACTTAAAGATCCAGCTCCTGGAGTCAGGTGATTACATGAGGATCTGAGCCTTCATTAACAAAAAGGAAGTTTCTAGCCCACGTGGCTGGTGAGTAAAACTTGAATGTGTGCCCTGAGTGCACCAAAGAACAATAACCCAACATATATTATTCTTTTAAAATCTCATGATTTTAAAGCTGGCCTCGTGAGCGCTGCGGCCTGACTCATGATTCTTGACTGTAGGGAATTGGCAATACTGCACTTAGCCATTAATGCTGAGACATGAGCTGGGTCATTTCCACATGCTGTAGTACCTCCAGGTGAAAATGAAAGGGCTATTTAAAAAATAGCAACATATAGATTTTTGGAGACTACAGCACCTCTGAGTTACATGGGAATGTATGTGCAAGCCACTGACACTCAAGACCTCCTACCCCGTAATTTATTACATTTAAACTGAAAGCACATTTGGGAGTCTATGTTCAGTCATCCCCTTAACAGATACTTCTGCCCAGGAATGGACAATTCGCTGATTGTTCTTCCTGGGCACTGACCTGCCTATTAACGGGAACGGCATTCCACCTCTCCATTGGTCCCGCCCCAGGGAGAGCTGGCATTGTACTGCGTGGCCACAGCAGGAGAGTCATGCCGTGCTGGCTGCTTTGGCATGCAGTCGCTTGGTTACTGCACAGCCCCACTGCGGTCACCAGCGCTCATGACAATGTAGAACAGCAAGTGGAATTCGTCCAAGATGGCTCCTAATAGTGCTGAGCCTGCCCTTCCACCTGATCATCTCTCCCCGCCCCCTAGTCCTTCCGTCTGATCATCTCTCCCCGCCCCCCAGTCCTTCTGCCTGATCATCTCTCCCCGCCCCCCAGATGGCTTTTTAAGTCACAGGAACATCACATGTTTTCACCTCTCAACCTGCATCATGCAAGCAGCTTATCCCTCAAGTGTCTGCACCGATTGCAGAACCACGTGTAAGAACCATGCAGACAGAATGCAGTGTGCTGCCCGAAGGCACGAACCATTTACATTTCAGCCTTCCTGCCTCCAGACCGTGCCACGGCGTGCGGTAGGAATCTGGGGTGCTTGTCGTTCATTTCAGTGGGGTTCAGCAATGTCTGGGCCACACAGAAATACTGCGTCCAGCCTTGTGGCCAGCGTTTAATCTGATCACTGAACTTTGACTGCATGACTGACAAGAACAGTAACAAACAGAGCTTAAGCTGAGTAACCCAGCCACAGCAATCACACCCCGGATGCTTTGGGGATACTGAATGCCTAGAGGAAATAGTCACTTTATTTGGTTTTATCCTTGCATACACTAGGGCCAAACCCTGAGGTCTGGACTCTAGTAAACACCTGCTGAAGTCAATAACATTTATATGCAAGACCCGCTGGTATGTAAATACAATACGAGCTGAGTAAAAACTAGATTCAGCCGCGAGTGCCACTGAATTGCCAAGTACATTCTTCCCAATCACCTCGGGGTCCAGTGCGAGGTTTCTGAAGGTCATTAGACTGCAGGAATTTCAGGTGTTACACAATTTCGATGAGGTACCTGGTGCCTCTGAAAGGGGCACTGGGCACTGGAGGAGACAGAGTGTCTGCGATGCTCCAGCAGACTGGCTAGTGGAGACAGCAGGACTTGTAACTCAGCCTATAAGTTTGGAGGGGAGGAGTGGGCAGGGCAAGTCCTGCTGGATCCAGTCCTGAATGATCTTCTCCACACAGTGTGGGAGAGTGTAACTAACTCCACACTCACGTTCTCTCTTGCAGCTCCCTGGGATCACAGCCTGGGGCCTCTCCAGAGTAGAAACGGCCTAGCCCGGCAGGCTGCGTCTGTGGTGGACACATCCCTGCCGGAGACCAGCAAGGGACCAAATTCATTCGAGTGTGACCTAAGCCCCACTTGAACCCCGGCCACCAAGTGTAAACTAGTGTTTTAGCTGAGTGTGCTAGCTAGTCCCTCGCCCACTGGGCCTCCTGTCCTGTCACTGTCACCCACTCTGCCACCCCCGCCCACATTCATCCCCCTCCACCACCCGCTGTGACACCTGCCTTCACACACACTCATTCACTAGGGAAACTGCCTGCTAGGGAGAGACCCGATCATCGCCAGCCCCAGCGAGGGCTCAGGAGATGGGAGAAGGCTAGGTGTGCAGGAGGGGCTTGGCCCAAGTCAGAGCTTTGCAGACACACAGCCTTCTCCTTTGCCCAGAGGCAACTGTTCACCAGCTGGCAGAACCCATTACCCCTTGGCCCAGCCAGGCCTCACTGTGTGTGTGGCCCAGTCCAGGCTGACTGCCCCTGTGATGCGTCTGATCCAAACACCCTGGGACGTTGGGACAGTTGGGAGCTGGCTCTGAATATCATGGCTGTGCTGCAGAAACCAACCCTCTGCGAGTCTGGCTTCCAAAGCTCCCACGTTGCAACTTCCAGTGCGGCAGCCTGGGGCGTCCCCTCTCCAACATCTGATCAGTAGCTCCCCCCACAGCATTGAAAGGGGTTTCCAATGGGTGTGGCCCAGGCACAACACTGATCATTTGTCCCCTCTCTTCAGACAGGCACAAAGGCTCACGTTCGCCTGACACACCTGCACTATAGGAAGCGCCCTGAAAGTGGCAATGCAGGTTAACGGGCTCCAAGCCTGGGTCCCTCCGGGAGGGACTGATCTGCTGATCACCACGGAGCTTGAGCCCCGTCCTGTGAGCACAGCCACAGTTCAGCACCGGCCTGGGAGTCAGAGCTTGGGGAGCTCCAATCCTGACTATGGCACTGACTCCCTCTGTGGGGTAGCACAGCCCTTCCGCCGCGGCTCTGTCAAAGCAGAGCCAACACTGACTGCAGCGGCTTCCCAGGCCTGAGCAGAGAG